CATTATAGCAGTCACCAAGCTTAATCAATCCGAGCCTGCTGGGCCGAGCTAAGGGACAATCTTTCAGAAAGCAAGGATGGAGGGCACAGTATGGGAGTGGGAAGGAGGTTTAAGGCCATTTTTTAAAAGGGTTGTCAGATTTGGACATTTTGCCATCCTATTGGACCTCCGGTTAGGACAGTGTGTTGGAGACAATGACAACGAATGCTTGAAAACGTATCATTAGTGCCAAACTGTCAGTGGTTGTTAGAAGCGTTTGGCCCGGTGAGCGGCAATCCAAGCTATTTTTTGGCCGAGATGAGATACACATCGTCAAGCGCAATTGAACACCCAATACCAAGTGGGGGAATATAGACGGATTCTAATAGGATTCAATTGCTCTTTTTCCTGTGTGTCGTCTGACCATGACTCAGCTATATTAAGGATGCATCTGTGGGAGAGGGGGTGAGAGCTGTTAGGTAACAATATAATCAGGAATCTTACTGAATGTTCTGTGGGGTGGTTAAAAAGTACATATGAAGGTCATAGATTGAAGATGAATTTATAGCCCACTCCCACAGACTATATGTCAGTTCACAGGACTCTTAATATACCAGCATTTGACCTTGAGGCACTCTCAGTAAATGGACACTCGTAGAAAAGCTGCTAATGGTGTACCCGAGGATTTTAATAGTGGTAATTTCCAGAAGGAAATGATTATTTGTATTAAGACACGGAACTAACATATAATTATCTACCTATTTATGACATTTTAATTTGATGTTGTTCAATGGCCCATTTTACCGCAGCTTTGTCAGGTTTCTTGAAAACCTCTGAATGCCCCTTTGACAGCCCGAGCTCTTAAAATTAAAGGTTAAAAAAGCAGTAATGCCACAGAAGAACCTTTCAGTGAACCGTTCTGAAAATAATTTTTTTTATTAGTGTGAAGAACATTTTGAAAATATAAAGAACTTTTTTACACAAAAAAGAACCTTTTGTCGAATGGAAAAGATCCCTTGCTTAAAAAAACAGAACTTGGACCCCACAGTGTTAGCCAATTTTAGACCAATCTCCAAGAAAATAGTCCTACAACAATTACAAAGCTTCCTGACTGATAAATGTGATTTTTGAAACTCTTCAATCTTGGTTTAGAAAACATCAGTCGACAGAGACTACATTTTTGAAGGTTTTTTAACGATGTACTAATAACCCAACACATTCTCATCCTAGGGTGTCATATAGTGATTCTGGCGACTATACGGCTCTAGTGCTTTTAGATTTAACTGCTACATTCGAAACAGTAGATCACTCTGTACTTATTACCCGTCTGGAACAGTGCATTACCGGCAGTGCATTGGACTGGTTTATATCTTATTTTAACAGAAGCTTCTCAGTGAGGATTGGAGAATATTCCTCTAGTAAGGCTGTGCTATTGAATGGGTCTATTTTGGCACCCATTCTTTTTTCTTTATACATGATTCTACTAGGTTCTATTATTAGAAAACATGGGCTGTCATTCCATTTTTTACGCGGACGAAACTCAAATTTATCTGCCCTTAAAACGCTCGTCAAATTGGCCTGTTTGACCAAAAGGTCTGGTTGTCTTCAAACCTTCTGAATTTTAATGAGAGCAACACAGAAATTTTTTTAATTAGACTCTCAGACTCCACCATTCCTAAAGTAAATTTTGGTGGTCTGTCTGCCTGTGTGAAGCCGTGTGTGCGACATCTGGGTGTATCTATAAAAAAATAAATAAATTCGGTAGTGAAATCCTGCTTTTTTCAATCGAGGCTACTATCAAAAGTAAAGACATTTCTCTCTTTTCTAAACTGGATTATTGCAACTCTCTTTATGTTGGGACTAGCCATTCAGCAATGTCACGATTGCAATTAGTTCAAAATGCGGCAGCTTGTCTTCTGACGGGTGCAAAAAAACGGAATCGTATCACGCCAATTTTACGTTCTTTACGCTGGCTGCCAGTGCGAGCGGAGTTCAAACGTTTACTTTTTGTGTACAAATCTCTAAATAGTCTGACTCCACCCTACTTATCTGCTCTACTAACTGAGCATCATCTGATCTGACTAGATCACTACGGTCATTAAATCAGAGACTTTTATCTATCCCTAAGTCAAAACTTCTAGGGGGGACTGTGCTTTCTCTGTAGTTGGCCCCAGATTAAGGAATGACTTGCCCATTTTAATTAGAGAAGCCTCTTCGTTATTTGTTTTTAAATCCAAGTTAAACACATTTTTGTTGGATACGGCTTTTAAAGGGATAATCCCCCCCTTTTTGGAAATAGGCTCATTTTATAACTCCCCCAGAGTTGAACAGTTGAGTTTTACCGTTTTCGAATCCATTCAGCCGATTTTCTGATATTTAGAAGAATATCTGTAACCAGATAGTTTCTGGTCTCATTGACTTCCATAGTATATAAAGTCAATGAGACCAAACTGTCTGGTTACTGACATTCTTTTTAAATATCAGAAAATCAGCTGAATGGATTCGAAAACGGTAAAACCCAACTGTTTAACTCTGGGGGAGTTGTAAAATGAGCCTATTTCCAAAAAAAGTGGAGTATCCCTTTAACACATGCTAAAGCATTATTCCATTCTATCTCATCATCATTTTAAATGGGTATATATACCCATATAGTACTATATTTAAATGAATACTTGTACTGTTGTTGTATTGTTGTTTGTTTTTCTGATTTTTATTAATATTGTAAAGCACATTGGACAATGTAAATTTAATTTATATGCTATAGAAATAAATGACCATACGATTCCAAACCATACCAATGGTTCTTCAATCATCGAATACCAATAAAGAAGCTTTACTTTTAGTGTGTGTGATTGCACTAGAGTGACTTTGAGCACCGCACCATAATTAGGAAACATGGAACCACCAGACAGATGACACATAGCTGTGCAGCAGTACAGATAATGTCCCATCTACTGGAGTGTAAAAACGCCCCTTAGTGCAGCGCCCAGGACCTGCCACATCAGCTGTAATCTGCTCCAGATATTGGCAGAACGACATCTGAGATTGCAACGGACTCGAAGAAGAGAACAAATATTATTACATTCAAAGTGACACTTACCAGAATACTGTTGGAATTTCCCCATTAACACTTGAAAATAACTAATGGGATGTTACTTTAGTCACTACCATCTTGGAAAAGATGCGTCACACTATGATTACATGCACCCAATTGATCAGTTTATAAATCAGATTTATGGCTCAATCTGACTGAAAAGCCATCACGTAAACACCTCAATCAAATTCGATTGAGCTTGATCTGAATGAAATTTCAATTGGATTGAAAGGGATGGTGTAAACCTGAAATAATCTGATCAACAGGGAAACAAATCAAGGCATGAATCCAATTTTCTCAATCGTATTCAAAAATACCTTGTGAACATGCGCAGTGTTGTGATGTGCTTGCATACTTGTCATGTCTTACAAATGTGTGTATGTTTATTATGTCTTAAGTTTTACTAAATACATTCTATGACTTTAAGCTAAAAACAGCAATTATGCTTGCGGTAGCTCTCCGAGCATGACCATAACAAAAAGTCGCTGCCTTAAGTTTTTAGGTTCAATCAACTTAAATTGCATTAAAATTACATAAATGAGTTGAATCTTGTATAACTTATTAAAAAAGTTGAAAAATGCTTAACTTATTTTGATGATTTAAAGCAATATTGATGGAAATTAGTGCATGTAAGAGGAAGATGGACGATTTCTTAGTAGTCTAGAATGCAGCAATAGTTCCTCCTCTAATTAAACACCTGCAAGAGGCCATCTTTTTCAGAGAAAATGTGTGGCTTTTTTAGTCTGTGTCTATTAGCCATGAGGTTGGTCATCCATATGCTAATACACTCCTAGCTAGCTGTTAACACAATATGACTAGCTACATGTAGCAGACAGGCCTTTTTCTGCAGTTGGACCTAACCCATGCTGCACTGCAGATTTTTGTCCAATCAAATGGTCTCTGAAATGAGTACCTTTCAACAGTAAACAGAAAAGAAAAGAAAAAAGGTGCCTTCAATCATTTCTTGGGGGTATTTCAAGTATTCAAAGCGCACACGGCCCATGCAACCTTCAAACTTTAAGTTTTTCAAGCTGCCAGGCAAGACTTTGTCAGCTAACATCAAAGTTTGCCTTGTCGAACTTTAGTTAAAACTATAAACGTATAAACGCGACCGTTTATGCATAATCGAGGGGACGCTATATTTCATTTGACAGAAATCTTCCGAGCTCTGCATGCTAATGAATGAGACCGCGTAATTTCACAGGCCAGTCAATAGATGGCAGAGCGAGGTCACTGATGATTAGTATGCAGGCCATTCCCAGAGGAGAGGAGCACTGAATTCATTAATCTTGTCCTTCATTCCTCCTTATTCGAATAAATCGCATTGTTTTGACAGTCAATCAACGGTATAGTCCGTGCAAGTATGAAGAAAGTCCGTCAATGAGTTAAAAAATATTTTAAATTAGGCTACAGATTCGTCTAGAACATGCACAAACAGCTAAGTCGTCTGATTTATATTGTCTGACAATTTTGCCAGTGTGGGAAATTAACTTTTTTTTTATTATGGAATTTAATGGTCGCCCCATGGAAATTGAATTTCAGAATCATTTATTTTCATAATTCGCCGTTTACAAGGGGCATATTTTGAAGAACATAAAGCAGCGTGTCGTTTATTTGTCATTTAATTTGAACTGAAGTAAATCTTCAACTGATACAATGATGTCAGGAAACGTTCTGTTACATAATCGATGGTTCTTTGTTAGACTGTTGTTTACTGTCACAAACTTTAAAATCTAATTAGATTTACTATTTCGTATCAAAATAGTGCTATAGAATGTTATAAATTAGGCTATACAACGTCAATTGTTATGTAAAAACCAGGGGAATTTACCAGAGGAACCAGAGGATTTTTTGACAAAATCCCCAGTTAATTTCGCATTCTGATTACAATCTAAAACAAAACAAGCTACTTTGAAGCGGAGAAACAGAATGTTTGGATTAAACGCTTTAGTGCTGTCTCTGACTGGAACCCAATCCACAAGTTCTAAACTTCAATGCCCTTCCGTTCCCAATATGACGTGACGCGACGATGACATCACGACACTTCCATCTGTAGCGCTCTCGCGCTCGTGACCGAACAGAACAAGTGAGCTAGTCTCGTCAGGCAGAAGGACTCAACGGCACAGTAACATACCTGCACACACTCCGGGCTTTACTAGCAGTTGGAGCGGACTGTAAGACTGAGATTCCGACCTGACAAGCCTCAACACACCGCCTCCGGTTCGCTTCGCAAAGTGAAAGAGATTTTATGCTAAAGTTTTCAGGATTTGTTTAACCTCCCGCGGACAAGAGCGGAATGAGCGACTTTACGATGATAAACTGTTGCCTGATTCTTGGCGCGTGCCTTCTGTCCAGCCAAGGTAATGTGACTCCGTAACTTGTGGGTTCATCTTTTCTTTTTTTTACTGCTCAACCGGTCTCTTGTTATTTTGAAAGTGTACCTAGAGGTAATTTGCATGCTGTTTATCTCAAGGCGCTTTACATTAAGTCGCCCGTCCCAAGTGTATTGATACGCAAGTTGCACGCATGTGTTTCGCTTGCGCGCGCTGATTTCTACGGCTTACCTGCTTATCTGGGTTATCCTGGTCAACTTAACAAGAACCACTGACCGTAACCCATATCCCTTGTCTCGTACTCCATGTTACGCAAGGTGTGGCCTGTCGTGATCGGGTTTTTCTTCAGCAGGTGTAATTGGAATGTCACACTTAATCACCTGCTTTACAGTTTGAAACTTTTACATCTATACATCTTTTGTTATATGTATTATAATGTATATTGGAGGCAAGAAATGCAACTGGGTTTAGTTGTTAACACGTAGAGGTTAATGACAAGTCTTTGTTGCTGACTGTAACCTTATAAAATGCAATTTTATGTATGTCTTCTGCTATTTTGAGATACCACTGCTATAATATTGCATTTTAAGTTACTGTTCCCCTTGTTTGCCTCACTAGTCTTGCTATTGGTGATGGTCCTAGACACTTCTTCCCTGGTGGTTTAAACATCACAGTGATTTGATGGTGTCTCAGAGGGGCTGGTTTCCTCTGATAAGGAGAGACATGTCTGCGGTTCTGTCTAAGCCGAGGCTACACTGCAGGACTGAAGCTCTCCACATATTTAAAGACTCAAGTTTCTTGTTTTTGTCAATGTAGTGCGCACTTCTACTACATCAACTATAAGATGTCGTTTTTAGATTTGCACAAATAAAATAAGAAAGAAAATTAAAGAATAAAAGCCTTTAACAATAACTATAATGACGCATCCACACCAACAAACGATAACATTCTGATTAATATAAGCGCATATTGCAGTTTTGATGTCTGTCACTTTAAATTCTCAAGCATTCTAATTGGCTGTCAGTGTTTTTATTGTTCATCAGCTAAACGTGATTCCAATGATATGTTTCTCTGTGATGTTATTGTTGAAGTTGGGGCGTGAAGGTCACTATTCTCTAAGAATTGGAATGATTATTAAAACGTTAAAGCGATACTCCACTTTTTTGGAAATAGGCTCATTTTACAACTACCCCAGAGTTAAACAGTTGGGTTTTACCGTTTTCGAATCCATTCAGCCGATTTTTTGATATTTTGAAGAATATCAGTAAACAGACAGTTTCTGTTCTCATTGACTTCCATAGTATATTTTTTTTCCTACTATGGAAGTCATTGAGACCAGAAACTGTCTGGTTACTGATATTCTTCTATCAGAAAATCGGCTGAATACATCTGAAAATGGTATAACTCAACTGTTTAACTCTGGGGGAGAGGTAAAATGAGCCTATTTAAATGTAACCCTTTAAAATTATCGTCCTTGATATGAATAGCACTTAAATCCCAAAATATGGATGACTTTTTAATGCTTGTTTGCAGTCGCGCTGTTTCATTGCTGCTTACCCACTTGTTGGGACAGTATGCACACCTGTCAACTCGTCGGGCAGGTTTCAAACCGGTTTCAAACCAGTGTGAATGCACTTAGTTGACTATAATCCAGAGTATTTTATCGCATATTTGTCCCATACAATATTAGCTTCGGTCGTTTAATGTGCACTTGGCTTTTCAGGTACAAAGGTAGGGCTAGGAGACTCGAGATGCTGGCAAAACAGATGACTGTAAATGAAGCGTTCCCTGTGCACATATTTCACAAGAAATAAGATGAGCATCTTGGCCGTTGGATAAATGAGTTTTGGATGGATGAATCTTGGCACCACAATTAGTCATGCCAAGATTTCAGTGCCGCTCATCTTACGTGGGTACACTCTGGGGTTCGCCTCTATTAATTTCTTCGCGGGATAAGGCGTTTTACACACCAGGATGAGCGCGAGACTTCTGGTTGCTCATTAATCTTGTTGGTACATGTCAAAGGTTTGTGTATTAGTTCTCAGAGGGGATCTTCAGGGGTGAGGTTAAGGTTCCTCGCAGTTGTCATGGAGACCCCTTTTCATTGGAGATGTGATGGCATCCATCTTGTTTTAGAGTCTTTGAGGGGAGTTTAAAACATTATTGGTGAGTGTTTAATTCAGTTTGGGCTCAGGGAAGCACGACAAATGGAAGTAGATACTTTTTTTATTGGTTCCCCTTGGTCTTCTATTACTGTCAGAAGCAACAAATGTCAGAGCGGCGGCAAAAAGCAACTCCCTCACAAAGGCGTGATAATTTCTCTGTATTCCTTTTTTCTTCCCGCCGAACAATGTGCTTCTATCTATGCCAACAGGTTTCTAAGAACAAAAGACCTGTGTCTGCATTGTCCAAAATGGAGCGTAGAATGAAACTAACACCTTTACAAGAAACCTTTCTCTGTCTCTGACTCTCACCCACTCCCACATTGAGCATGCAAGGACTAAAATTGCTAGCCTTTGAATGAGTGTCCTTTCTCCACACCCCTCCTTTTTTTTCTCCCAGTGTGCATTCAAAGCTCTGTCTCAAGCCTTTGTTCTGGTAGCTTTAGTGATTGGCCGCCTATAAGACCCTCTGTCCCCTTTTTCTTCCATTGTTTGAGTGTCTGAAGTGCACAGGAGAGCGTTTTTCTCGGAGTGTGTTGATAAAAAAGTTTCCCCGCCTGTCCTCGATTTACCCCGGCCTCACATGGTTTACACTTTATTGTGGCCCCACTATCTAGAAGCCGTTTCCGTGGTCTCTTTTGTAATGTAGATTATATATTGGAAATGAGTGAGTTCCAGAGCACACAAAACCCGAAAAATTGTTTGATAGCTGCAATCTTGCTCGCTGGACTCGAAAATATGCTGCTGTCGTAAATGGGGAATCAGATGTTGCCGCATAACAGATGGAAAATCTGCTCTGTGTCTCCGTCCGTCTCCCGATTTATGTTTGTCTCACGGCGTGAAAGAGATACTCTCAGTCTCCCGGTCCCTGACTCTCCCGCCTCCCTTTTTTTTCTCTCTCCCTTGTTGTCCTCCTCTGCCGCTCACCACTGATGTGGTCATACGGTGCCGTTAGCGAAGGTCGGAGGACTCCTGGAGGCCAGCCATGCCTTCTTATCACCCACAACTGTGCTTGATAAAATGATGGTTAAAGAGAGCGTTTTTTCTGTGTGGGCTCTGAGATCAGCCTTTTCTGTGACCCTGGGCTCATTCAAAGGGTTTTTCCACCCTCTTAAAACTTTCGACGCCTTCATCTCTATCAATCCTTTAAGCAAAGAGCGACAGACGTCTCTCTACTGCGCTGCATTGATGTACCTCAAACGTTTTGGTTAGGATTTGTTTTAAAGGGATAGTTCAACCAAAAATTAACATTCCGTCATTAATTGCTCACTCTCATGTCGCTCCAAACCCATAAGACTTAATTCATCTTCAAAACACAAATGAAGATATTTTTAATGAAATCTGAAGGACTTCTGTTCACTCAAAACTCTGATGCTTCAAAACGTTCATAAAGAGATAGTAAAACAAATCCACATGAATCGAGCAGTTTAATCGAGCAACACATTCTCGTCCCAAGACGTCATCTAACTGACGCTTTTGACCATACGTCAACATCCGACATTTTAGGGTACCCTTTAACGTCAGTTATGACGATCCTAGGGTGTCATCTAACTGGCGCTTTACCTTTAGCGTCAGTTAGATGACGCGTCTGGGGTAGGATTAGGATTAGATAGCGTCATCTAACTGACATTACAGGGTACCCTAAAACGTCAGATGTTGACGTATGGTCAAAAGAGTCAGTTAGATGATGTCTTGGGATGAAAACGGGCTGGTTAGGGTTGGGTTTTGAGGGTGAGTAATCAATGACAGAATGAAAATTTTTGGGTGAACTATTGCTTTATATTGAAATTAGTTTTATAGCTTTCAGCTTTCATTGTATTCTAACCCGATGGGATATACGTTTACAGAAATGGTTCGTTCGGACAGAGAGTTTGCGTCACTATATTGAAAATGTAATAAAGCGTTAATTAGTGCTGGGCGGTATACCGGTTCATACTGAAAACCGGTGTATATTTCTGTTATGATATTAATTTTGAATATACCGCCATACCGATGTATTTGATTATACAACGTTAAGAAATAACAATTTTAGGTTATACTGGGCGTAGGGATGGGACGATAACCGGTTTCACTATAAACCGTGATAAAATGTACTGACGGTTAGTATTATCATTTAAAATTTAATTATCATTAAAACCGTGTTTGATTATCGCGATTTTAATAACTCACTGAATCCTGTCGGCCAGTTTGACGCAGGCGCGCAGCACGCAATATTTTTTTAAATTACTATTCGAGAAGGAATGGCGGAAGGCAGTGACCGTGCTCAGGAGGTTTTTCAGCCTTTTAAGATAACCAAATCTGAGGTGTGGTCATATTTTGGGTTTTTACAAAAGTCCTGAGGGAAACTTGATCGAGGATGGTCACCTTGTCTGCCGAACAAAAAGTCATTACAATAGAAACACTTCAAATCTGTCGAGTCGTCTTGTGTGATCATCACCCGAACGCAAGTTAACTTTGACCTCAATACCAAAACTACGTCTGGGAAACAATTGGGCACGAAATGTTGTTTTGAGCTGAAACATTTTATGTCACTCACTTGAAATAGACGTCAAGCTTCCGCGAAGAAAAGTTTGTAGCAAGTGGCTTTGAGCCAAAGACGAACGAACAACTTCAAACAAGACTATTATTAAGAGCGATATTTTAAGGGATAGTAAAGTATAGATACATCACGTATTAAACCGATTTTATTTTTACCACATAATTACGGGGACATATTGAATTGATAATGAGATTAGCTAATGTTTTAAATCTTACCTGTTTATGAATTCATTTTGTAAAACAATCGTCCAGACAAGATATATCACACCAATATTATCAAACTATGTAAAAAATAAATCAACTCTGATTTCATTTTTGCAATACAAT